AGAGAGAGAGAGAGAGAGAGAGAGAGAGAGAGAGAGAGAGAGAGAGAGAACACAAACAAATGTCCGGCAGGAAAGGCATCTCCAGCCAGGCCCTTCACCAAGCTGTTGAAGTGTCAGTGTCCAGCCAGGATCACACACCTTAACCATTCCCAGGACCCTGGGATTGCAACCTAGCTCCATCACTAGCCATGACCGACCTTGGGCAAGTCCCTTCTCCTGCCTGGATCTTGGGCTCATGTCCCAACATGTAGAGGTTGGCCAAAATGATGTCAAGGGCTCTTCCCAGCCCTGACGTGCTTGGACTCTGAGATTGGGGACCCACCTTCCCCCAAAGCCATTGGGATGCCTCCAGGAGCTGTTTCCTCCATCTTCCCCACTCCTTCTCATCCTGACCCCCACCCCCTGCCTTGGCCGGACTCCCAGGGGCTCATTGCCATTTGGCAAAGCCCATAAGAAGATGGCAGTGTTTTCCTGGGAGTCAACAGGAGTGGAGGAAGCAGGTTAAAGGCAGAGCTGGACACAGTCTACCCACTGCAGAATTCTGTCCTGGGGCTCTGTTGCTCTCTAGCCGTGGGAAAAGGAACACCCAGACACTACCCAAAGAGTGGGTTTGCTCTAGGGTCCCCCTGCCCTCCACATCTCACTGCCGCTTGCCCGGAGTTTCACGGTAGGTTAGCTATCTGTAGATCAGTGTGGCCTGTGTACACCTCTCTCCCTCTTCCCACACAAGTTCCCCAATTAGTACAACTTTCCTCCTGCTTCGCGGAAACCTCCCAGCTGACCTTCTTGCTCCCAGCCTCATCGCCACAGCAAATAGCATCCCCGGGACAAATGCTTCCAGAGAAAAAAACCAAAAACAAAACTCCCAAAGCACAGCTGTCCTCGCCTGCTTCACCAAAGCCCACCCGGCTGCCCACTGCCCCGTGCTCTTTACCCCCCTCCCCCTCCATGCCTGACTTGACTTCTTGTTAGTTGGATGATTTCTCTCCATAGCCTCCAAATCATCCCTCAAGAATACTTAACATGTTTCTAGCCAACAGCATGTTTCTTCTGTCTTCCCTTTGCTCTCTAGGTCCAGTCTAACACCACCCTCCCCGCCCCCCCCAGCCCCCCAACACAAACACACACACACCCCTGCTAAGCCTCACAGGGCCACTGTCCTTGAGGACTGCAGCAGGATTTATTGGCCAGATGACCTAGGTGACCCAGTATGGGCTCTTTTTAAACGCTTATTTACATCCTAAGGAGTGTGTCTGTCTTTTGACCACACACAGTCTTGTTAATGTCCATGAAGGCAAAGCCCATCTCTGTGGGTTTTGAGAGCTAGCAAGGTGCCCCACAGCCATGGGCACTGGAGAACGCTATTGATGGGTTTAAGGTGTGCAGACATGACAGGCGGTACCCTTCCCCTCCAACCCTGCTGTTGCTTTTCAAATTGCCCGTGGTTCTTACCTAGAGAGACGCTAGAGGCTGGGGCTAGCAGCCGAACACGGCTGATATTTATACAGGGCTGGTCAAAAAGAAAGTCACCACCCTAGACGGGCAGTGCCTACTCCCTACTGCACCCAACCATACCTGGCTTCTCTGTCGCCTCTCACTTTGCCTCTGCCACCTGTCTGGAAGCTGTCCTTGGGGTAGTGATGGGATGCCTGGAAGGGCTGTGTGTGAGAATGTTGTTAGCCTGTTCCCGACCCATCTGCCTACTTGGGAACATCTTGTGGCCAAACCCACTGGCTAAGTCTGGTTAAATGACGGAGCCTCCCATTCACTCAGCATCTAGTGACCACAACGGTGTTATCGCTTGGTTGGATCTCAGCCCTCACAACTCAGTGTGGGATTATTAGCTCTGTTACTGCAAGCAGCGGGTACAGGTCAGGGAAGGGAAGGGATCTCCTGCCCAGAGCCACCAGGCTGACGGGCAGCGGATTCAGAAGGGGGAAGCTGGCGCTTCTGACTCCACACCCACCCGGGGCTGTGTCCCTGCTGGCCTCTTGGCCACTTCCTTTGCCTCCATATGCTACGAAGCCCAGGCCCAGCCTGGCAGAGCTACCAGGTGCCCAGTGATGCCAACTTGCAGGAGGCTCACGAGTAGCCCTGATTGGTTGGAGGTCAGCAGGGTCCGACTTAGTCATTCACCTGGTTAGTCACCTTGTTCATTCCCACCCCCTCATCCCTGGCCTCACTGCTAGGGAACCCTTCCTTCCCTGCTCCTCAAGTTCACCAGACACAAATGGAAACTCTTTCCTTGGGAAACCTCGCCCTCCCCTAGCTGTTGAGTCATCAAACTCCTCCAGGCCCCAGCCCCCTCTATTCATAGCCTAGAGCTGTCAGAGGAGGAAGGGGCCTGGGGATCAGCTGGTGCCATCACCTCCTCCTACAGAGAAGGCACGGGGCCGCGGGGGGGGGAGACAGGAGCCACATAGAGGGGGGACAAAATCCGACTTGCAGCCCCTCCCCCCCCGCCCCCATGCCTCTTTACCTGTTACTTGTTTAGTTCTATTTATTTGTTTGTTTTGTGATGCTGGGGATGGAACTCAGGAACTCCTGTGTGCTAGGCAAGCGCTCTACCAACTGAGCGCCCATCTCGCTATTTTTTTTTTATTGCCACAGTAGCCACAATAGTAAGGGCAGCCTCCCTTTACAATCTCCGCTCCGGCAGGCTCTATCCGGACACTTCATTTGTATCCCCTTGTTAAGCTCTGCCAGTCCTCCGACGCTGACCTTATTACCCCCACTTCCCAGCTAAGCATTGGAAGGCTTTAAGTCAGCCACTCACCCATGGCCTCGGAGCTTCAGGGCAAAGCACCTGTGTGGCCTCAACTGACCTATCCGCCTCTCGCTGGCAGGGTCTTTCTCCATCTCAAACCCAGCCCAGACCCTTGGGTCACCAGGCACCAAGAGAGCCAAGCTGGTTCATCCCTAGCCCGGCGTCCCGGAAGAAGGGCGTCTCTGGTAGCCAGCCTGCTGTTCCCCCATCTCCTAACGGCCCGACAGATAGAGCTGTGCCTGGCACCTGGTTGTCCCCGAGGCTGTGTGGGACTCACAGGTGCTGGTTCTCTCACAGCAGGCCTGGGAATCTTTCCGGCTCTAAGGCAACAAGAGAGAGAGACCAGGTGATAGATCTGTTGATGGAGCCCAGGCAGGAAGCCTGGGCTGCTGCTCTCTGGCTCCTCGCCTGCCCGACCTCCCGCTGAGCACAGCCTCCTGTGGCTCACGATGCTGCACGGTGTGACCCGGGGACTGAATTCAAGCAGGTGGCCCAAGAGGGAAACGGTGCCTTTTTATATCTTTCCCAGAAGTGACCTGCCACTTCCCAAATCACAGAGCCCTATAATAAGAGAATGAGAGGTGATGTTAGGGAACACCCAACCACTCAGAGAGGTCAATAACTTGCCCAAGGCTACACGGCAAGTTGAGCGCTTGATGAAGCCCATGATCGGCCGTTATCTTCGCACTGTGCATCCCCCAGCATTACCCCGCTCTTTGCCTACAGGCTGGCCCCTCTACCTTGACTCTCCAAGCCCTAACTTGGAGAGCCCTGGACTTCATCTCAACCCACCTTCTATCCCCTCCCGTGTCCTGCCCAAGCCATTAAATCTCTCAGATCTCATTCTGTCAGTTATAAAATGAGAATGAAATTATCAGCAGGAAATAATACTTTCATGCAAAGGACGCGCCTGGTGGAGTCGCTATTTAATGGTGTCTGTAATGTTTACTATCAATAATGTTACCGTTCATGGAGTGTGCCTTCCCCCATGGAGGGGCCCACTCTGGCTCTTCAGGGTTACCGTGGCACAGCTACCTTCTTAAGGAAGAGGGCCAGTGGGGTGAGGGGGTGAGGGGAGGAGGGGGGGGGCAAGATCAAGAAGCTACCACATCCCTTTGTCTTACCCTCCCAAGATCCTAGCTCAGGGTCCCCTTTTCCTTCTGCATGCCTGGAGCCCGCCTGACATGCAGGTTCGGACGCTGCGCTACCTCTTCTGAGCAGGCAGACCCTCGGAAGATTTAGAGTGGATTTAGGCCCCTGTGCTAGGAAAACTTGTTATGTCTCAGAGCAAGGCAGAAAAAAAAAACTAGTTCCACCCGGTTCAGTTACTGGTCCTCTCTAGCCCTCAGTTTCCTTACCCAGAAGTGGGTAGATTTGGCCAGAGGTCCCGCTG